CCGTTTCGCCAACCTGACTTACCAGAGCATGGAATCCCTTGGAGAAATGTTAATTCCCAAGCTGGAAGGCTCTGCCTGAGAACCGCACCATTTGGGCCGTTCGTCTGAAGGCGATCCTTAATGAAGACCTCATCATCTCCGTCTTTACAAATGATACCTCATCTTCAAACAAACGACAAAGCCCTGTCTGTGTCAATTATTTAATTGATATGTGAGGATGGACCACTGATGCCACACCGGCATGGAAGAACACTTGAAACCTACTCTCTTCCGAAATGATTCACCACGGAATACCTGGTCTTCAATGCCTTCCTTCTTCAACACCTTCCTGGATGACCTCCACACTATGGAAGAGTACCACAACAAGATCAAAACATTGAATGACGATCTCAGGTGCAAGAACATTCTTCATCCAAAGCAATTGATTATTTGCGTGGATGTTAAATTGCCTGAGTGACGATAGGAGACATTGGTCTAGTTAATTGTCCAATCATTAAGAATAGACCCTGAGTATTATTCTATTGAGTTGTTAAGGGGTAGATAGAAACAGAAGACTATTGGCTAGGTAAGAAGACAGCAAGATGTAGGGCTCTGATACGAGCAGGCTCAGACATGAGCATAGTCCATTCGGTAACGAGACTGAATCTTGGAGAGCCCTCATGGCACTCTCCAAGTCGAAGGATTTAACATGAGTATAATGACAAATGCTCAATGCTCATTGGCACAACAAAGTGGGGAAGAAGAGGGGAAACTCCCTCGTACAACATCACAGTCTTTCACAGACTTATCCAACGATCGTCTAAGATCTCCTGAGGTAATCCAAAGCCACGTAAGGCCATCCAGGATCCTTTAGGATCTTCCGAGATCAAACAAGATAATGCGGGGTCCGAGTCCCAAGATGACGGAAACCCGATAATCATCAGGATTCAGATCCATGATCATCCGGAGTCCCGTCCAAGATCATCCAAAGTCCACGCCACCGATGACGTGTGGGGCCGGACGATCATACAAGGTCTGAGCGCTAAGTGATGTGAGGGTCCCAAGATGGGAAACCTGTAACACCGAGCCATGAGAGATAACGCTGTCATGAGATGTGAGGGGTCCTAGGGTAGGACCCCGTAACATGAGTCCTTGTTCGCCGGTCCGATCGATTCTGGTGCTATCGAAAATCATAAAATATTACTTACCGACAGGGGAACAAAAAGCCCATGGAGCAAAACGTACAACTCACCGTATTGCGAAAATTGTAAACACACCTACACATAACACCACGATTTGTTGGTTTTTTATCCCCGTACAAAGCTCCAGAAGGGTGGCGACCTTGCCGAAAGGCACCGACACCAACTGCCTCACCCATGCACGACCAAAAACAAAATAAAATCGTTGTGTCGATTACGGGAATACTAAAGCTGAAGAATAAAAAGAAAGGAAGGAAAAGCGGGGTACGTGTTATGAGCCAAATCTTTGATGGAAAGAGTGCTGTGATTCAAAAAACTAAAGGTGAAGAGAGAAAGAGAAAGAAAGAAAGCAACTATCTGAGAGGAGCCTTTATGCTCCTCAGGTACGTGCCTCAGGCACGAACAAACAATCACCTCCTCTATCACATGACCCTTGTCCTTTGTCCTAGATCTCATAGCACGTGACATTCCCCTTGCAAAACTGCATTCAGTCCTCTGAATGCCGTCATAGTCACACTTTATAATCGTCAGGGTGATCCTCCAGTAGTTGGTCTGCCATAGCAGCGTCCTTCCATGCTTGCAGCCGTAAGGGTGGTCCCGGCTTTGACGGGTAATTGTCATGGAATTCCTCGATCTTATCAGCTGAATTTTTGAAGTTCCCAGCGGGATACCATGTCAGGTCAACGTCATGCCCGAGCCATTGGACTCGGTAAACCAATTTTCGGTAACGAAGTTTGGCATCGAGAATCTTCTCGACCTCCCACTCATCGGTTTCCCCTACCTGAATAGGTGGGGGAGGGTCCGAATGCTGCCCTCGCAGTGGTTCAGTCGTCGATGCCTTCCGTAGCTTGCTAGCATGAAAGACTGGATGCACCTTAATCGACGGAGGAAGGTCCAATTTGAACGAGAACCCTTCCTTCTTGATGATTTTGTACGGTCCACTGGCGACGTCGGAAAGCTTCCTGCTAGGCCTGTCCTTCAGCCAGTCCTTCGTCGTTACAAAAACCAGATCACCGACGTCGAAATCAACTTCACGGCGATGCCTATTTGCTTGTTGAGCCTGCCGTCCCTGGGAATGCGTAGCTTGTTCCTTCGTCTCGTTCCAGATCTCATGTAGACGTGCTAGCATGTCCGATGCTTCTTGCTCATTCTCAGTCAAGGTGCTCCGATCTCGCCAGTCGAATGACATCACAGGTTCGTATCCTCGCTCGACGAAAAATGGGGACTTTCGAGTTGTTTCTTGGGGCAGAATCAATGCTGCAAAGTCAACCATTGGAAGGTAATCGGACCAATCGTCCTGGTTATGCTCAATGTAGGGGCGGAGCCGCTGCGCCATATATTGATTGGCGATTTCGCTTTGTCCATCAGTCTCTGGGTGATGTGCTGATGATAGCCTTCTCTCAATTCCAAGAATTCGGCAGAATTCAGTCCAGAACTCCGAGATAAACTGTCCTCCTCGATCTGATATGATCGATACCGGAATCCCGGTGATCCTGATGACATTGTTGATGAACAAACGGGCCATCTTCTTCGCAGTCGTCTCTTTGTGACAAGGTATCGAGATAGGTCTCTTAGAGAGTCGACAGACGATCACGAATACAGCGTCAAAACCATTCTTATCCTTCGGGAATGATCGGAAATCCATAGTGAGATGCTCCCATGGACGATTCGGGATCTCTATCGGATGGAGTAATCCTGGGGTCTTGTCTCTCCACGCCTTGGTTCTCTTGCATATTGTTACGATGATGCCAATTCCTCAAAGATAGAAGAGTGCATTTGAACTAGAATATTGAAGACAGAGAGGGAAGGAGAAGAAGGAAGAAGGGAAGTGAGAGATGGGGCCTTGACATAGATCCTCACGTCATGTGTTCTCATCCCTCCGTCTAGTTCAATGCACCTTGAGAAGCAAACAACAAAAGTAATAATAGAAAGCAAACCTGTCACACGTGACACATATCAGGCAGTTGTCAACGTATCACTTTATGTCACTGGCCCGCCAATGATACCGTGCAGAAACTAATTTCTTCAGCTTCTCAATGCCCGGGTGAGCTACCAGTGGCTGGCGATGCATCTCGTCGAGGAGTCGAGCACGGAGATCATCTTGGTCAGGCACTTCTAGTTTACCATTGTAGAGTAATAAACCATCGTCGTCTATGGACCAGCTTGGGCTTCCTGCACCGGCCATTTCGCGGAATTCGTTGAGGCTTTGGTCATTGCGATTGGCATGCTTGACTCGTTCAACAATGCTGGATCCGTCAGGTCCGTTACCTGCCATTTCGTTAGAGAGAGGGGATATCTGAACGGGATCGGCGTCGGGATCTCTCCCTGGGTTTTCGAAACAGGACTCTGGGAGTAGAACAGCTTGTCGACTGTCATCCAGACATGGAGCGTCTTTTCGTGATAAGACGTCTGCAATAATGTTCTTCTTTCCCGGGCGATATTTGATCATGAAGTGAAACTGGGAGAGGGACTCGCTCCATCGCATTTGTCGTTGATTCAGCTGTCGGTTCTTCATGAAATACTCCAAAGATTGATGATCCGTCACTATGCCAAAACGCTCTGTCTGCGTTAAGCTAAGCAACTCTGGTCTCCATTCTTGCAAAGCACGGACTATTGCCAGGAGTTCTTTGTCTCGGATTTCGTAGTGCAACTCCGCTTCCTGCATGACTTTCGAGTAAAAGGCGACAGGGTGCCAGAAATCGTCCTCTTCGTAGTACTGCGTTAGGACTGCACCCAGCACTCCGTCAGATGCGTCAGTTTCTACTCGGGTAAGGCGCTGATTATCGTAATGTCGTAGAATTGGTGCCGAGAGGAGCGCGTTCTTCAGTTCCTGGAACGCTCCTTCACAATTGTCATCCCAGTCCCACGGGGTGTCTTTCCGGGTTAGACGGTGTAGTGGTTTGGATATCTTGCTGTAGTTCCGTATAAACCGCCGGTAAAAATTGCAAAAGCCAAGAAATGACTGGATCCCTCTTACTGTATCAGGAGACGTCCATTCTTCAATAATGCGGATCTTCTCGGGGTACACGGAAATCCCATCAGTGCTGACGATGAAGCCTAGGAACTTCGTCTGTTGGACTGAAAATTCGCACTTCTTGATTCCCACTTGCAATCCAGCTGCCCGGAGTCGACGGAGAACCTCCCTGACATGCCGACGATAGTCCTCTTCGTTCTCGCTGTAGATCAAGACATCGTCCACAAAGGCGATCGCGTATTCATCCATGCATTCCCTCAGAACGTCGTTCATAAAACGCTGGAACGTAGCGGGTCCATTGGTTAAACCGAAAGGCAGAACTTTGTACTTGAAGGATCCATATCGAGTCCGAAATGTCGTCAGATCTTCAGCATCAGGCGTCATGCGGATACGGTGGAACCCTTGTTGCATGTCCACCTTTGTGAAGAATTTAGCCTTGCTAGTTCGCTGCAGAACCTCATCAATCAGAGGCAATGGATAGCAATCCTTCTTGGTAAGCGCGTTCAGTCTCCGATAGTCAACGCAGAAACGTAGTCCACCTCCTGGTTTCCTAGCCATCAGGATCGGCGAGGCATATGGTGCTGAGCTGGGAACGATAAACCCTTTATCGAGGTTCGCTAGAATATACTTCTTAGCTTCCTGGAGCTCCTGCGTAGACAGTTTGTAGAGAGGGCAGTAACCAGGCTGAGCTTCTGCCTCCAAAACGATGTCATGATCGACTCCCTTTCTGTGCGGCGGAAGTTCATCTGATTTTCTCTTCAGGAAGACGTCGGCCAAATCATGGTATTCAGCCGGTAGCACTCGAAGGATTTCATCCATCTCCGGGTCATCAGATACGCTGCTGCTCTTCACTTCAAGGATGCTATCGATCTCACTAAGAGACGTTGCAAAGACTTCCGTTTTTGAATCTGACAGAGACCTCGTTTCGAGTCTCTGGTATCCGCTGGCACTAATCATACTTATGTCAAGTGTGCCGGATAATTCTGGAGATTTTGTTCCGTCGAGGTTTCGTTGCATTTTCTCAATATCCTTTGCCCGCCATTGTCCCTTCTGATGAAGCCGTGGGGATGGGAAGCGTCCTCCGTTCCGATCTAGGTAGGGATCAATGCTCTGCTCCAGGAATTTGTCACGACGATCCGCATCCTTCTGGTGAGTGAGGTTTCGGGGATTCTTTAGGATCGTGAGGGGTGTCGGAAGTGCTATTTTACTAGCCACTTCTTCAAACAGGGACACTTCGTGGGGCCAAATCATTCGGCGACGACGACAGTCAAGCAAAACGTCATGCTCTGAGAACCATAGCCTTCCAATGATCATATCGTGCTTCCCAAGGTCCGCCACCAGCATTGGAATTTGCTGTTGGATATGTCCATCGATTCCCATGGAAAGGATCACTGCATGGGTGATGGGCCGAGAAGGCTTTCCATCAAGCCCATTTACGGGGCATTCTCTGTCCAGTCGCTGGGTCCTAAGGCCATGCTGTCCAAGCAACTCCACTAGGGCTGAGTTGATAAAAATTGATCCGTCTGCCCCAGTATCACCAAGTGCTGAGATCGAAAAGGAACGTCCATTCAACATAAGCTCTGTTTTAAAAACTAAACTATCGTGGGGACTTCCAAGTAATTTCTGCAGATTCAAAGCAAAAAGTGATACCTTCATTCCGCCTAGGAGGGAGACTTCGCCTAGGCACGAGCTTTTCCCGAGTTGTCAACCGCGGGATCCTCGAGAGCTGTCAAATTGACGACGGGCTGGGTTGTAGCGACAGTAGGAGCGGCAGTGGGCTTCGACGTGTTTTTGGGACAGTCGCGCGTCATATGACCATGCTCTTTGCAGCCAAAGCATCTCCCTTCTTTCATGAGGGTCGCACGTTCCGTGGCAGACATGGGGACATAGGTCGACGATGTGGGGTTTTCTGTCTTAACCTTCGTGTTCGATGACGATGATCCCACCCCAGTTGAAGAGGAGACTGGATTCGATCGTCCTCGGCCGGTCGCGGTGGTGGTCTTGCTCTGTTGGGCGAGGGCGATCGCATGAGAGCGTCGGATACACCTATCTTTGAACGTCTCGAAACTGACTTCATCCTCGCAGGAGTCCCCCAGCATCTGGCTTTGCAACAACGGGGGTAGCTTTTCGTACAGGTCAACCTTGCGGTTATCGACATGGATATTTGCCTCGTTTGCGAGCTCCATAAAATCCGCAAGGAAGCTAGTAAACTGGTCACGAGGCTTCATTGTGAGCCGCTGATACTTGGCACGTGCTTCTGCCGCATGGTTTGGGTTTGAAAACACGGTCTTCATATGCGCGAGGATATCTCCGTAGTCTTTATACGGGTCGGGCGATTCCTCGTTCAGACGGGGAGCCATGTGACGAAACGCTTGTCCCTCGGCACGGCTCTGCACGTACTGGATACGGGCGTTCGCGTCGGGGAAATGGTCTGCATTCCCTGTGAGCTTCCTCTTGATGCCCGTCATCCAGGATTCGTAACGGATGTCAACTCCGTCGCTAAGCATGGGTGCGTCTGGCAGACGCGTTGTCTTCTTGACCGCCTCCACAATCGGTGCGCGGGTTTGCAGATCACAGAACTTGATGGCCATCTCATGCAGCTTGGTAATAGCGGCATCCTTCTCTTCCGTAGCTGCGGCTGCTCGAGAGACCGCTTTCTCCAGGTCAGCTCGCGCGTTGTTTCTCTCTTCTCTTGCTCGTTGGTAGCGAGCCATCGCCTCGTCTCGCTCACGAATGATTTTTCCTTCCTGATTGCGGGGCTTGTCCTGGAGTTCAGAGTTGAGTCTTTCAAGTTCGTAGAACTTCTGCTCCAGTTCCTTGTAGACCGCGGTCAATTTGTCATATCGGTCCTTGAGATCAATCTTCAGGAGCTGTTTGGTAACCGTCGGCGAGTCCAGTTGGAGGTTGATCAATCTGGTTCCCTTGAACGTGATCTGGGGTGCAAATCCTCCGCCAGTATCGTCATCATTGTCGGCGAGAGGATCAGGAGCGGTTTCGTGGGAAGGGCCGGAGTCAGGATTCGGGGGTGTCTGGGGTTCGTCATCGGGGTTGCTCACTCGCTGCTGTCTGCTGTGCTTATCAGCCTTAGGAGGAGCCATTCTGATTCGTCAACACAGTCGGCACTGTGGGTCTTCGGTTCGGGAAATCGTCGGATTCGGGTTCGGAAGTCTTGGCTGTATGGTGCCAAGGAACGTGGGGTGAAGACGAGCTGAGACCAATCACAATGATGGTCTGTACAGCGTTGCTTCAGTGAGGGTTGTGATGACCTTTAGTTTTATATTATGAGCCAAATCTTTGATGGAAAGAGTGCTGTGATCCAAAAAACTAAAGGTGAAGAGAGAAAGAGAAAGAAAGAAAGCAACTATCTGAGAGGAGCCTTTATGCTCCTCAGGTACGTGCCTCAGGCACGAACAAACAATCACCTCCTCTATCACATGACCCTTGTCCTTTGTCCTAGATCTCATAGCACGTGACAGTACGACCTCGACTAAAATATCAGCCCCGCAAAATCGCAACTCTCCACCTAGGCTTAGACCGTCACAGTGCGCCCCGTACGATGTACCTAAAAAGCTGGATCCGAACCGAGGAGGGACTGCTTGCCCACAGGGGCGAGGCGGCCAGCCGCCTATTCAGTAGTAAGAATATAATAACGTATTTCACCACCGAGCTGGCTACTCCAAAACACATAGTAAAAGTGGCAAATTACAACACAGTAACTTAACAACGGTGGCCTATACGGACTTATTCTTGTTGCATAGCGTCTTTTAGGTCATGACAAGCACCTATAGGGAGTTTGAGGAAAATCCAAGGCTTCATGCTTGCGTGACATATATATTGAAGAGGGGAACGCTCAAGGCTGTGTGCTCTGAGGCACACGAGTCGATTCAGGAGATACCGGCCAGCATAGACATCGGACCAGAGGTAGCAAAGAGGTTGGGCGCCTGCGCACAAGCAGTCAAATATGAGATGTGTAGGAGTGTGTATGTCAACTAAAACTATCTCGCGACTATATCTTCAGCACAAAATTGCTGATGTAAGGAACGCTCACGTGAAAACCAAAGGAGTGGACAGGGGAAGCATGCCTGTAGGGTTAGGTCACACCTTCCCACTACAATATCTGGGGTCATGGAACGCTAATTTTTGATACCACCATAATATCGACTTTTAATATCTTTGAAATTGATACAGAGTGTCAAAATGTCACGTGTGACAGGTTTGCTTTCTATTATTACTTTTGTTGTTTGCTTCTCAAGGTGCATTGAACTAGACGGAGGGATGAGAACACATGACGTGAGGATCTAGGTGAAGGCCCCATCTCTCACTTCCCTTCTTCCTCTTTCTCCTTCTCTCTCTGCCTTCAATATTCTAGTTCAAATGCACTCTTCTATCTTTGAGGACCTGGCATCATCGTAACATAATATTGAAGACCCTCTCTACAAAGGCCTGTAGAAGCGAATCGGCATCTTGCTCCAACTGCCTTTATGAGGTCCTTACTGTAAGGTACACTCTTGGACTGGAGATCTTCCTTTTGAACGGATAGTCGGGTGAAGCCTTAGACACAAGTCTCTGTATGCGAGAGATCTGACTACTCCGGGGTTAGTAGTAGGCTGAGCGCGAGAGGCTGCTAACACCCTTCTTTTTCCCTTTCCTGACTGTTTCTCTTTTCTCTCTCTCTCCTCATCGTTTCATCACCTCAGGCATAAGGTTCAAGTGCAATCATCAATCTTGCTCCCTTCTCATCTCTTTTACCCTCGATCCATCTCCCACCCATCCAAATGGATCAAATGCGAGATCAGATTCGCAGCGAACTCAGCGCAGAATTTGCTGCCACCGTCGACAACCTTCGCGGCGAACTCAGCGTTGAATTTGCTGCCATCGTCGACGACCTTCGCGGCGAAATTCAAAGCCTTCAACAGGCTCATCAGCAATCCAAGCTAGTTCAACCTAGCTCATCCTCCACCAAACGCCCGAAACCGTCACTTCCGGATCCCGAGAAATTCACCGGTTCAGCTATCAAGTACGATACGTGGGACGCCGCTATCCGTGCAAAACTCGCTATCGACGGACCAGCCACCGGAGACGAAACAGCCCATTTTTACTACGTCTACCTCAACCTCTCCGCCTCAGTCCAGGCCATGGTTCTTCCACAACTCGCAACCGCACGTAAAAACGAGACTCACAATTTCAACACTATCCTCGACCAACTCCGCCGCGTGTACGATAATCCAAAGAAGATTCAAGAAGCAGAGGATCGTCTTCTTTCCGTTAAGCAGGTCGCCGATGAATCCCTCGCCGCTTACATCGCTAAATTCGAGCGACTCCTCTACGAAGCTCAGGGTCAGGAATGGCCGGATGTCACAAAGATCTCAGCTTTCCGGAAAGGTCTTCAATCTTCAATCCGCAACCGCCTCTCCCAACAGCTTAATCTTCCGCGTACCTACACCGAGTTTCTCAGGGTTGTCCAACAGCTTGCCGGTTACTCCTTCTCACACACCACTTCTTCAACCACGCCAGCCAACACTAACAATGGTGATCGAATGGATATCGGCAGTGTCCAGATCGGAGGAGTTAATCCTATGCTAGTGGCCCTTGAAGCTAGTGACTCGGATTGATTGATTCCACGATCTAAAGGGACTAGATCGTTTCTTGCAAGGGGGTAATGTCACAATGTCACGTGTGACAGGTTTGCTTTCTATTATTACTTTTGTTGTTTGCTTCTCAAGGTGCATTGAACTAGACGGAGGGATGAGAACACATGACGTGAGGATCTAGGTGAAGGCCCCATCTCTCACTTCCCTTCTTCCTCTTTCTCCTTCTCTCTCTGTCTTCAATATTCTAGTTCAAATGCACTCTTCTATCTTTGAGGAATTGGCATCATCGTAACACAGAGCGCTAGTTATTCTTATCAATTGCTATCGTGATAACAAGGAGACAAAATAAACCTGTTACGATGAAGCTCTTTCGAAAACAGAAGTATTCGATTCACTTGAATAAAGAAAACAACAAGACTGGAGAAGAGAAGAGAGAAGGAAGAAAAACAAAAGGAGAGAAGAGAAAAGATATACTACGCTTCCCCTCCTCTCACGTGGCAAAGTCCACTTCCACTTCCAGTTCCAGTCCATGTGACTTGATGTGTCACAAAACCCATGGTTGTTGAGATATAAAATCGCATTTACTATGGGTTTTGGGGGTAGTCAGCTCGGTGGGTTGGCCAGCTCGGTAGTGAAATACGTTAATAAAAATTTAATTAATATTTGCTTATAGTGGATAATTCTCGTCCATGGCACGAAAACATGTCCGAACGTCGCCCTCGCCAGACGAGACGTGACCAAGGTTCTCGGCTATTTCCGTCACGTGAGGATGGGGGCTTTGCATTTCTCACACAGGGGTTCCCGCCATCCTTCCGACAACAACAGGACAAATTTCTGGCCCGCCAACACTGGTTTATAAATAAATTTAGTATCAATAGATTCAGCTCAGAAAACTGCAGAAGACATGGAAGCCGGATTTTTTAGATTTTGTGCTGGTTGGCGAGTTGTCGTGGAATCTCGAGAAATGTCGAGAATTTTTCCTGACTGACTTCAGTAAACATGCTTAAAATCCCGATTCACTGTATGTAGCCACTGTGTTCCCGCCTCAGACGTCCCCCTAAAAAAGATGATTCAACATCCTCGAAGAGGCAGGCGGTGGAACGCAGAGGCCACGGCCTTTTTTGTGGGGGGCCAGAGGGAACTGAGGTAAGTCGAATCTGCATCGCAGTAGCCTTTGAGGTTCAGTTCGTTTCCCCGACAATCGTAGTGTAGTCCTAGGAGGGAGTACTTTTCAGGTACTTCCATATTTTCTTCAGTATATTGAAGTGTTTCTTGTCAGGATTACTCAGGAATCTTGAGCAGTATATGACCACATATGTCATGTCTGTTCTAGTTTCTAGTACCAATTTTAGTGACATGCACTGACCTGTCACCAAGCTGGACGGAGGAGGCCTAGCACCATTGGATTGAGGTTAACCATGGGAGTTGCGGGCGGAGGCGCGTGCGCCCCGTACGATGTACATAAAAAGCTGGATTCGAACCGAGGAGGGACTGGTTGCCCACAGGGGCAACGCGGCCAACCGCCTAACCAGTGTAAGAATAATAAATAAATAATAGTTTGTGGAGTTATTGTATCCCATTAGAACGGCTTCTTTTCATGGTTCGAGTTTTGGTTTGTATTTGTTATTATTGCTTCGCTAACCCTCTGCAATTATGATAATATGCAAGTGATCCCCATGTTTCGATATTTCGATGAATGGTTTTCTTATATGCTTCATATGGTGTTTTATGACTTAACGCTTTGTGTGGTGTTGTATTGTATAGGTATGTACGTAGTAGCAAGCTGATTTTAAGGCTTCTCCCCACAGGCAGTCTGGGACATTCGAGCAGCTCAATAAGGTACTTTATTCATCAAAGTCACGTTCGTCCTTTCGATCAGACCATTTGGTTCTTTTATATATATTGGGCTGAGTCCATCTGTGTCCAATCCCGTATTTGACTAAAGCCATTTTCAACTTTTTGTATATGCATTCTTTGTCATTATCAGTAAAGCACTCTTTAATATGTCCATTGATATTGTTTTCAATTTTAGTTTTCAATTTCAGCTTTCAATTTCTCCAAGCAGCCATAGGCCTCTTCTTTTCTGCGGAGTAGGAATATACATATGAATCGAAACCTTTTGTCAAGGAATGTGATGTAATAAGCATTCTTATCATACAGTCCCTGCGCAGAAGTTTCTGTGGTATCGGCCCCACACCCGCGTTTTTGGGACGCGTGCCCACCAACTCACCCTCTTCAATGTGAAGGAAAGACGGAGGACTTGGGATAGACGGGACCCGCCGAGACCCTTTCAAGATCTCTCAGCTTTCAATGGTTTCGATCTACTACGTCATGGGATCTTGTGACAGATATCCGCGAAGATCCGTCAGATCGCCTCCACGTTTTGGAACCATGGAATCCCGAATAAGTGTATCCTCCTATCTTGCCACTGATGTGAGCGCCGGGGATAAAGACCCCAGACTAGTGGGATATTTCTGAATCTCTTCGAGATTTAGTTTCTGTATTACTAGGCAATAAACTGATGACAAGTTTATCACTTCCTTTGATCATTTGGTATATTCTATTCTGGTCATTCGATAACTATCCTGATCGTTCACTCTCACGTGAAAACCCCCATTGTCCTCACAGCCATGGGAGTTCTCCAAGAATCAGTCTCTGTTCTCTTGTCGAAATCTATCACAGGTCTTCTTCTTCTGTACATCTATCTCTTCTTACCTAGTTGACAGGTCTTCTGTCCTGTACACAGTCTCCCTTCACAGAATGTACCAAGAGATATCAGAAGGAAGAGATGGACTTGTCATCAGATTACTGTCTAGTGATTACAGAAACTGAATCTTGAGATTCAGTAATATCAGTACGATGGCGTCAGTTTCCTTGGAAGCTGCCCTTAAACATACATTTTTCCAGTAATTTGTTGACGCTCAAGAGACTGACTCCCAATTCAAGAATGTTTGTTATAAACATCCTTGATGAAGAATTGCATGCTTGTATTTGTTGTGTGTTACGCCCAGTTACGAATGGAAGATCATCGACCAATGTAGTGGCATTAAAGGAAGCAACTAAGCATGAGGAGAGAAGAGAGGAAGGAAAACATCTCCGCAAGGACGTGCTGATATCTTGTCCGATAAGCAGCACGTGCTCTTCCCATATCCTGACATGTCCGTCTCCCTCAAGTCACATGCCTCATAGCCCCAAGTCCTCCACGACCTGTAACATTGTGGCATAAATTTTGCCTTCGTATTTTGCATTTAGATCTTTCGCTTCACCCCAACTTTTGAACTTGTTAAGATCCTATAACGTGGATCCTTGTTGTTTGGGCATCCCGGATGTTCGGGCAGGAACTTCAAAACATCAACTTTTCTACATTTTTTAATCGCGAATTAAACAACCAGAACACCATGAATTTCACTACACTAAGTTTTGGAGCATTTCCTCATCGAATGCCCTTTATGACCACACGCAGAACAGGTGATTTGCCGGCGCATAGGGGGTAAAACAGGGAGTGTAGGCTCAAGGTCGGGTTCTGGAGCGGGTTGAGGATCAGATATATATCTCACACTTGGACCTTCCCCGCCACCAACATCAGTCGGAGGAGCCGGGTTCGCCGTTATACTGCCTTTGTGAACTAACTGCTTATTTGATAATGACTTCTTTTTGTTCTGCTTTCTATTCGCGTCCAGTGAACGCTCGAGTTTATCCCTCAAGCAGACAACCCCATGAACCAGCTTGACTGCCATATTGTGATACTGTTGAAGATCAGCTTTTGTAGGCGAATTGATCTTATCAGCAGCTGAACTCAGACCAGAATCGATCCGAGCTTTGCGTTTTGCTAACTGCTTAGCCGTCCGAGGTACACCGGTCGAGATATTGCTACCTGATGTCGAACCTTGCGAAACTGGTCGATCCGGTAGACGCGGAGATTGAAGGCGCATAGTCAGCTTTGACAGCACCCGATCGGGGTCTAATGGCACTAAACCAGTAGCTGCGAAGGCACTTTTAACGATAGGCTCTTTGAATGCATCGTTACGAGCCTCTGGAAAGATCTGGAGGAAGTCGTTTTTCTCGATAGAATCGATGCCTAATCGGGTGTATTCCGCAACCCGGCCTCCGTAAGATCGCTTCAACACCGCAAAACAACCAACATCAAGAGGCTGTAAAAGATGAGAGGCATGCGGAGGCATGCGGATTGGAACAATGTCATTTTCCTGGCCAATTTTGTCGAATTCCGGGGTGAGATGACTGTTGTGGCCATCAAGGACCAAAAGACAATGTTTTCCTTTCCTCTGACTTTTCACTTGCGGAATGAAGTATCCTTGGAGCTAATCAACGCCAATTTCATTGCTCGTCCAGCCGTTTGGACTAACGTTAACAGTCCAATGTGTTGGAAGGTCACTAAGCCATCGTTCCATGATTCTTTTGCCTTTGAAGATAACGTATGGTGGGAGCGCTCGACCGGAGGCGCAAATTGTTTCAACGACAGTCACCCATTCGCGATTGCCAGGTTGCAAAACGCCCCTCCGACCGGTGTAGACTGACTGCGTAATGACCTTTGTGGTCGCACTCACTCCCATCGCAAACCCTGACTCGTCAAAGTTGTAGATGTCATCCGAAGTGATACCATATTGAGCAATCGTTTTTTCAACAAGCTTGAACCACTCAATAATGACATTTGGATCTTCCAGCACGGCGCGTTGATAGTCATATTTACGAGAGTATCGACTAGAAAGCAAAGGATGTCGTTTGATGAACTGTGTTGGCCAATTTTTGCTGACAGTCTGTGGTTGGGGGGGGGGGGGGGGGGGGGGGGGGTCATCTCCACGGTTTCGGAGTAGTAAATTGGCCATATCTCTCAACATGGCGATCGTAAGAGCAGCACCTCTATTGTCCATAGAGATTAACCAATCCTGAATTGTTTCCTCTTCGAGCTGGGTGAGTTTAAGGCGTGGTGACCTCGTCTCACACCAACTAGTCCTCCCTTTCAGCTGGGCTTGCAGCGTAGACCGCGGGACTTCAAAAAAGCGAGCAGCTGCGGAAACGGAGGTAGCCCGGCCATTTTTGATAGCCTTAATTGCTAGCAGGATTTTGCCTTCCTGATCAACTGATTTCTGAGCTTTTTTACCACGAATTGGTGGCATGGTGGGCGTTTGAAAATAGGATGTTTGTTTACGAGTGGAAAATTTGAGGTTCCTGCCCGAACAACGAGGATCCACGTTATCGTCGGTATGACATGACTAAACTAGTTAGTTGTCATAGTGGTCTTTTTGGTTAACGCCTGGACTTATGTTTATGTTAGGCAGGTGGTGTCTGGCCCACATGCCGTAACAAGCTGTATTATGAACAGCGTCTTCTCGTTTGTTTCGTTTTCTGAGGTTGAAGTCGTAAGAACGGAGGTGAGATCATCCTTTGTCAGGATGGCCTTGACACGATCGTGTATGTTGGGCTAAGTCTATGCTCAATCCCGTATTTGGTTAAAGTCATTTTGAACTTTTCGTTGACGTATTCTTTACCATTGTCGGTAAAGAACTCTCTGTTTGATACGTCCATTGGTATTGTTTTCAATTTGAGCTTTCAATTTCTCGAAGCAATCATAGGCCTGTCCCTTTCTGCGAAGTAGGGATATCCATATAAATCTAGACTTTTTGTGCAGGAATGTGATGTTATAAGCATTGTTATCATAGGTTGTAGGCAATGGCCCTCCTAGATCAGCATGTATTCTTTCAATCTTTTGGAATATTTTGGTATGTTGACTCGTTTTGTTTATATGCCTGTTGTTCTTTGCAAGCAGGCATACTTTGCAGTGCATAATCGAGTTCATGTATTTTTCTTTTGATAGATCAATATTGATAGTTTTTAGTATAGGTTTCAAAGGTTCATATGATATATGCCCTAGTCGTTCATGCCACATCTTGATGAAGTTGTTTTCCACCCATTTTGTCAATAGGATGTTTTTGTTTTTGTTTTTGTCTTTGTCTGGGATAAGCAGACTTGTTTTGTATAGATTGTCTTTCTTGAATGCATGTGATATGATAGTGTTTTCTCTGTGTATGATGGCGTGCTTTTCCATTGAAATTTGCCTTTATACCATTTTTCAGTAGTTTGTTAACACTCAAGAGATTGACCCCCAATTCTGGGATGCAGTAGACATCATTGATGAAGAATTTCATGTTTGAATTTGTTTTGACATAGATTTTGCCTTTGTATTTTGTTTTAGATCTTTTGCTTCGCCCCAACTAACGTTTGTGGGTTCATACGAATGGAAGAGTTTCAGATGGGAAATTGTATGAATTATAGCAGCAGTATCAAGTATAAAATCAAACTTATTAAACATTAAATCTCTCGAACGCATTGACCAATTCAAATACATTCTCACTTCCGGTTTGAAGAATTATCGAAATAATCATACGCCTGGTCTTTTCTATGGAGTGGAAATGTCAATAAAAATGAGCTTTAAAATCATTGTTTCTGGATCATCCTCCCCCATGGGATTATGTGTTCTGGCTGACTCCATACGGGCATGTCTGTTATTCTTTGCCAGTAGACATATCTTTGGATCCTTGATTGATTTTATGATATTTGTCTTCAGATATATTGTCACGGGTGGGTCCCCTCTTGGGACCCCACGACCTCACATCACTTAGGGGTCGGGCCCCGGATGATATTCGCTTGACCGTTGAACTCATCATCAATCACATCACTTGCAGGATCGTCAGATAGTCTACGTGAGATTATCATGCTATATAGCTTGAAGGAATATCCCCTCGTTCTCCTCGCTTCGTTATCATTGTGAAGGAAAAGACGGAGGACTCGGGAGTGGCGGGACCCGCCGGGACCCTGTCAAGATCTCTCAGCTTTCATGGTTTCGATCTACTACGTCATGGGATCTTGTGACAGATATCCGCGAGGATCCGTCAGATCGCCTCCACGTTTGGAAACCATGGAATCCCGAATCATTGTGTCCTCCTAGCTTGCCACTGATGTGAGCGCTGGGGAAAAAGACCCCAGACTTGTGGGATATTTCTGAATCTCTTCAAGATTCAGTTCTGTATTACTAGACAATAAATCGACGACAAGTAATTAGAGCCTTAAGCAATTCACAGACAAACTTTTCCAATCAGAACATTGCCCATAACAGTCGAGGAAAGACTCAGGAAGGACCTCAACAAACCTTCTAGTCCAAAAAGGGGAATCAAAGATTTGGACTACGGACAGCAAATTGCGAAATTGGCTCGCTTGAAACGCTCGTCCAGTGTACAAGAACGGGACACTTGGTTAAACGGACTCGAACTCATTTTCGAGGGATGCCCCAACAGATTCTCCAAGGACGAGAGTAAGATCATAACCGCAGTAATGCAAACATCTGATTCCTGCAGAAAAAGCTGGTATCAGCATTTGGCGGATTTGTCTGAGGAGGAAAAACATCATATCAAGCATAACTGGGGTGCTTTTGTGGATTGGACATTGTTATTAATTTCAAATTCCGAGCAAAGGCTGGGAGACCTCCAGATTGAGTCGGAGAACAAGGTCCAGGATAATAATCAGGACCCTGTGGATTTCGACCAAGAGTTGGCAGTTTTGGAGGGATACTTTGAGAAGAGGTCTGAGAAAGAGAAGGCTTTGTTTTTCTATAGCAAACTCAGCAAAGACCTCCGACAGGAAATCTCCTCCCACGCAATTGAGCTTCCCAATACCCGGGTTAAAATGGTGCAAACTGCTTTGCATCATTGGCGGCCGAACCATTGGAACGTTGATAAGAAGAGGAAACGTTCCGACGGGGATGACGACGAAGACAAACCTCTTCGGTTCAAGGCGTGACGATCAGGACTCAGGCGTCACATGATGGGTGGTGAGTGTTGGTGATACGAGTGCCGTGAGAACCTGTGACATGAGGAGGAAGAGATAAAAAGCCTTCTGCGGATTCTTTCTTGTTCTCTTTCTTTTCTTTTCCCATAGTTATTGTTTCGTCTAAATGCACTCTTTGTCTAAATATTTGGCTGGTAACACAAGGGAAAAGGTCGCTCTTTGTTAGGGGTGACTGTTTACAGGACAGAAGACCTGTCAACTAGGTAAGAAGAAAATAGATGTGAAGAAGAAGAAGACTTGATAGATTCAGCAGTAGAACAGAGACTGATTCTTGGAGAGCTCAAATGGTACTCTCCAAGCCGAAGTATTTAACAGCAAACAAACAGATAACTCCATGTCAAACTGTTAAGGGATAGATAGAAACAGAAGACTATTGGCTAGGTAAGAAGACAGCAAGATGTAGGGCTCATTGATATGAGCAGGCTCAGACATGAGCATAGTCCATTCGATAACGAGACTGAATCTTGGAGAGCCCTCATGGCACTCTCCAAGCCGAAGTATTTAACATGAATGTAATGACAAATGCTCAATGCTCATTGGCACAACAAAGCGGGGCAAAATAGGGGAAACTCCCTCGTATAACATCAGTCTTTCACAGACTTATCCGACGATCTCCTGAGAGTCTGAGACAATCCAAAGCCATGCAAGGCCATCCAGGATCTGTCAAGATCATCCGAGATCCAACAAGATAATGCGGGGTCCGAGTCCCAAGATGACGGAAGCCCGATGATCCAATCAAAGATCAATCCGGGATCCAAGTCAATGATGTGTGGAGCCCAATGATCGGGCGAGGTACAATGCTCATCCAGAGTCCGAGCCTTGAGATGATAACGCTGTCATGAGATGTGAGGGGTCCTAGGGTAGGACCCCGTGTTACGGCATGTGGGCCTGACACCACCTACCGAACGTAAGTCCAGGCGTTAACCAAAAAGACCACTATGACAACTAACTAGTTGTCATGTCAGGTTTCCAATTCATATCCACAGTACAGGATCTTAACATTATCCCCCCCTTTCCAAGGCCGCGTCCCGAGGCTACCCGCCTGGACCTGGACTTACACTGGAAAGCAGGACTGTTCAGCGGTTACTTTGTAACATAACAGGACTCTGGTATGAATTGTAGATCCCCAAGTGTATATCTAGGAACGGATATGCAACCTGCGGACCCGACCATAATATTCCTTGCGAAGGTGGAGGTTCGACACCATGGCGGTTCGAACCCGAGACTCCACGTTTTGGAACCATGGAATCCCGAATCATTGTGTCCTCCTAGCTTGCCACTGATGTGAGCGCCGGGGATAAAGACCCCAGACTTGTGGGATATTTCTGAATCTCTTCAAGATTCAGTTTCTGTATTACTAGGCAATAAACTGATGACAAGTCTACCATTTCATTTGATCCCTTGATATATTCTAGTACCTACGATAACTATCGTTTTGCCTGATCGTTCACTCTCACGTGAAAACCCCCATTGTCCTCACAATTCCTGAATCTTTATCCCCGGCGCTCACATCAGTGGCAAGCTAGGAGGACACAATGATTCGGGATTAAAGGCGGTTTTCCATTCATCACCTTCCCGTATTCTGATTCGGTAGTAAGCGTCTTTGGCACTCGCTACGGTCATTACGAGTATTTAGTCATGCCTTTTGGACTAACCAATGCCCCTGCGACCTTCCAAAATTACATTCACACTGCTTTACACCGTCTTCTTGATACTGTCTGCATTGTGTATTTGGATGATATTCTGATTTTCTCGAAAACCCGAGCTGATCACACTCGACACATTTGTCAAGTTTTGCAATGTTTGCGGGAAGCCCAGTTATATGTGAAACCTTCAAATGTGCTTTTACCAGAAGCAAGTCGAATTTCTTGGTTTCGTTATTGGTGTCGATGGTGTCTCTATGGACCCTCGCAGAATCGAAACCGTCAGGAACTGGAAGCTACCTGAGTCCTACCATGACATCCAAGTTTTTCTTGGCTTTTGCAATTTTTATCGTCGGTTTATCCCTCACTATTCCCTCATTGCGCTGCCCCTTACAGATTTGTTGAAGGGAAGCGTCAAAGGCAGGAAGCCTGGGAAAGTGAAACTAAACCAGAACGAGATACTCGCATTTCGCCGGCTCATCGCTGCATTCCAATCAGCCTCTTTACTCCATCATTTTGACCCCTCCAAATTGATTCGCCTCGAGACTGATGCCTCAAAGTATGGAATGGGAGGTATCCTGTCGCAACCAGCTGATGACAAACGATGGCACCCAGCTGCTTTTTGGTCCAGAAAGTTCTCCGGCGCAGAACTCAACTACGGCATACCCGACAAAGAGCTTTTTGCCATCGTCGAGTCGTTCAAACATTGGCGACAATATCTGGATGGTTCCAAATACCCTGTTGAAGTTTTATCGGACCATCAGAATTTGGGTTTCATGAAGCAAGACAGACTGAATGGAAGACAGGCCCGTTGGTGCATGTATCTAACTCCCTCCCATTTTGTTATCAAGCACCGCCAAGGGAAAATAAACCCTGCCGATGCTCTGTCCAGGCAGACAACGTCAGACCTTGGGGACGCCCGGGGAGAAGACTTGTTATTGCCACTTCGGGACCGTCTGGTGTCCGATGCTACCCCGGTGCAGAGCTGTATTGGGCCAGGCGTGACCATACAGAGCCTTGTCAAGTCAAAGGCTTTTGCACCAGATGACGAACCTTTTACTGAGGAAGAGGTTTCGGACTCGTCCCAAATGGGAGATGTCCAGCTTGATCACTCAGATAAGTTTGACGTTGATCACTCAGATGAGTCTGAGGTTGATGCTGACCCTGGCCATGCCGACTCCGCGGAGTTTCGGGAATTGGCAAACAAGGCTGCATGGAATTCGCTGACTCGTGACCAGCGGATATCTCCCGTTACGGTACAATCGGTTTGCCGTAACGAAGAGGTCTATTCTGCTGAGGCGAATGAAGACCTTCGTCAGTTGATTCTGCGGATTCAAACTGACGATGACGAATGTCGCAAACGGAAACATGACCTTGTCAAGTCAAGATCTACGGTTTGGACTGTCGACCCTGAAGGGATACTTCGCTTCAAAAATCGCCTATTTATCCCCGCTGCTGAGAACTTGCGACAAAAGATTCTTGCTCTTTACCATGAAGATCCTCTTGCGGGACACTTTGGACGCCACCGCACTGAAACACTATTGAAGCGCAAGTTCCATTGGGTAAATATGCATCAGGATGTGATCGATTTTGTCAAATCCTGCGGTGTATGTCAACACCAGGCAGTACCTCGACACAAACCATTTGGCAAGTTAGAATCTCTTCCCATCCCTAACAAACCTTGGAATGAGATTACGATGGACTTCATTACGGGGTTACCAGAAGTCATCAACGATGGTCACTATGTCGATGCAATCCTTGTCATTGTCGACAGATACACGAAGATGTGTCGCTTCTTCCCTGTCTCGACATCCATTGACGCTGCCGAGCTCGCCGAGCTATTTCACCGCCAAATCGAACTAAAGTACGGACCACCCGAGGGAGTTGTCTCAGACAGAGGTTCCGTTTTCACCAGCAAATTCTGGTCACAGCTTTGTTACCTTACGAAAGTCAAACTACGCCTTTCCACGGCGTTTCATCCACAGACCGATGGTCAAACCGAGCGCATGAATCAAACGCTCGAACACTATCTGCGGAAGTTCATTGACGACGAACAAGTTCTCTGGCCAAAGCTACTGGACACAGCTGAGTATTGCTGCAACAATGCCATCAATTCAACAACACAAATGTCTCCTTTCTTCGCCTTGATGGGCTACAATCCAGACTTCCACTTACGATTCGAGGACGAATCCCCTTCGGAAGGGGTCCCAGCAGCTTCAAGCCCGTCAACAAGCTACATCGTCTTCGTGAACAATTGGAAAAGCATTGGAAAGAAGCCGTCAAATCACAGGCCGAATACTTCAACTGAGAAGCACCAGCCCAAAGTTTTCAAAACAGGAAGCCTCGTCCTGTTATCCACAAAAAGCATTAAGCTGAAGATGCCCTCTCCCAAATTATCTCCTCGGTATATCGGTCCTTTCCGAGTTCTTCAACGCGTCGGACAACAAGACAACAAGCCTATCGCCTAGCCCTTCCAGAACAATATTCCCGAATCCACAATGTCTTTCACGTTTCACTTTTAGAAGACTGGACATCCAGGAAGGACAAGGACGAAATCAAATCTATGCCGATGGCCGACCTTGAAGATGACGACGAGTGGGAAGTTGAAGAGATCAAAGAAGAAAAGCGAATCAAACGTTCGAACTACTTTTTGGTGAAATGGGCAGGCTGGCCGTCTGAGTACAATCAATGGGTTCCGGAGGAAGATTTGGAAAATGTGCGCGATACGATCAAGGATTTCAGGAAGGCTAAGTCAAAGAAGACGAAAACAAAACAACCACCAAAGTCTTCTCATTGAAACAGCATCTTTCCTCGACTGTTATGGGCAATGTTCTGATTGGAAAAGTTTGTCTGTGAATTGCTTAAGGCTCTAATTACTTGTCGTCGATTTTGTTAATTATATCCCTTTTCTTTCCTTCTTCATTTTTATGTTTCATGCAGCGTGGCTGAGACAGCCCCTTGGAAAGGGGGAGATCAATTGTGAAGGAAAAGACGGAGGACTCGGGAGTGACGGGACCCGCCGGGACCCTGTCAAGATCTCAGCTTTCATGGTTTCGATCTACTACGCCATGGGATCTTGTGACAGATATCCGCGAGGATCCGTCAGATCGCCTCCACGTTTGGGAACCATGGAATCCCGAATCATTGTGTCCTCTATCTTGCCACTGATGTGAGCGCCGGGGATAAAGACCCCAGACCTGTGGGATATTTCTGAATCTCTTCAGGATTCAGTTTCTGTATTACTAGGCAATAAACTGATGACAAGTTTATCACTTCCTTTGATCAATTGATATATTCTTTCCTTAGACTAGTTATCTTGTCGAATTGGACTCTTTTGCAAGAATTGCCTACTGTCACATATTCTGGTACATTCGATAACTATCGTTTTGCCTGATCGTTCACTCTCACGTGAAAACCCCCATTGTCCTCACAAAAGCGTTGAACGGGGGATTTTAAATCGACGCGCCATTTCGCGAATACCTTGGATTTCTCCATTTTTAATAGTCTTGATAGCTAATAAGATCCTACCCTCTTCTCTGTTAATTTTTGAGGGCGTTGGGAGCGAACTGGTTTCATGGTGGGTGGTTGAAGAACTACAGTGCTAATTCTTAGACGCGTTTTGGGTTGGGTGGCCAGCTCGGTAGTGAAATACGTTACATAGTAGTTAGTTATAATAATACTGCGCCCACCGTATTACGACTAGCTAGCTGGAGTGCCAAATGGCTTTTGGTGACTGACATTTTTGGGTTCCATTTTTGAAAGGATGGCCTTTAGGCGAATAGTCCATAATCCATATGATAAGCTATTCTCAGAGGCTCAGAGCCTTCGAGGGTCGGAACTGGGATTTTTCAAGAGGCAATGATTTGGTGGATTCTTTTATTAGAATGAATTTCAAGGTCTAATTCAACAAGTTGATATTGATCTGACAGCGAAGCAGTTATCTTGCCGGTCTCATATCTCTTGGGGGTTTACAGCAGAGAAAGGTAGGTAAATGAATTAAATTGATAAATTGACTGGAGTGCAAGTTGGAGTCCGTATCAGACTCGGAAATCACGGGACATTAGCGAGCCTGACTGTTGGCGCCTGAAATAAGTGATGAAGAAGACACTTAAGCGGCAACCAGCGTGGAGAAGATGAGAAGTCGGGGGGAGGCCGATATTCTGCTATACGAGAAGAAGTCCTGGAGACAGAAGAGAAATAGATTGGATATGAGAGATAGTTTACTATGGAAATCACCAGAAAAGAAAACCCGAGAACCGGAAAAGGGGAGATAGAAGTAGGGCAGTATGGCAGTCAAGGACAGCCGAGGCCCGAGGGATGCTCGTGATATCGAGGGATACAGAGAGATTCATGTGATGCCGAAGGGTTGCTGCCTGACAGCCAAGACACAATGATGTAAGCCACTGTGACGGTGGACAGGAACAAGTCATGTGAGCCAGTGGGCAATCAGGAAGGGAAGGAGCAGGGATCGCGGGGAAGAGTGTATTTATTGTTTACCTCCTGTTCTTCTTCTTTTTCTTTCTTTCTCTCAGACTCGTTACTTTGTGTGCAGTACAGCATAGGATCGATCTCCTTCTTGATTTCTTTTGCCTTTTTAGCTTTCGACAGTAACAGCCACCCGATGGGGTGCTCATTGTCCGACAGTCCGTCTAGGAGGATTATGGCAAAGAAAGGAAGGGTGGCGGTGAGGATATTTAGAAGGAAGGTTTCTTAAAAGGAATCTGGAAGGCAGTTGGCGGAGTCAAGTGACTTGATTTGTTTGCAAGAACCTGATGATAGTAATAATGATTGAAACTAATTCCCCCGGGGGATTTGACACCTTTTATCTTTGCACTTCATGTGCTGTGTTTGATAATAGATAGATTCCGCAATCGTCAGTCCGTCCGCGTCAATCTGTGAACGTCAATTCGCAGCCGTCTGTCCGTTATCATGTGTTGATATTTTTGGACCCTACACTCCCCCTTGATCTGTATAATCCTCACAGATTATACAGACGAGTTCATTTGTTTGTCTTGCAGCTGTGCTAACTTTGTTGGAGCTGAGAATTGGGGGAATGGTAAGTTTTTTATTAGGAAGTCAGCCGCTTGATATTTTGTGGGAATATAGATTAATTTGATCTTCCCCTCTGATATAGCAAGCATTTCTTGTGAAATGATACATCAAGTGGTATGTGTTTTGTCTTTTTATGAAATTCAGGATTCTTACTTAATAGTTTGGCCGATAGACAATCCACTAGTATGGTTGGCACTGAGTGCGTATAACCTAGATGTAGGTTGTCATTGATGTAATTGAACATGCTCTTTAGATAGATAGCCTCTTTTGTGGCTTCTTTTAAAGCAATGTATTCAGCCTCGCATGTGCTTAAGGCCACACTCTTTTGTAACTGAGAGTTCCACGATATGGAGTTATTGTGTGATATGTTGCCTGACAGACTAAAGATATAGCCTGAGGTTGATTTATAGTCATCCTTGTCCCCGGCCCAATCTGCATCGCAGTAGCCTTTGAGTGTCAAATTGTTTCCCGAACAATCGTAGTGTAGTCCTAGGGACGGAGTACTTTTCAGGTACTTCCATATTTTCTTGAGGATGTTGAAGTGTTCCTTGTTAGGATTGCTCATGAATCTTGAGCAGTATATGACCACATATGTCATGTCTGGTCTAGTTTTTAGTACCAGGTATAGTAGTGAGCCAACTTGCTTTTGATAGCTGTTGATCTCATCTTTTGAGGCATTGCCAGTGTTTTTCTGTAGCCTGACTCCTGGTTCTCCAGGGATTTTGACAGGTTTGTATTCAGTGTTGTTGATGATATCAAGTTTGTTCAGTAGTTTCTCAGTGTATTTGGACTGATTGATGTATAATTCTTTGTCTTTGATGATAATATCATTTCCTAGGAATGTGGACACTGGTCCCATTTCCTCGATTTTGATAGAAGACTTTAGCTTCGTCATGAGGCCTCGGGTATACTGCTTATCTTTATGAATGGCTAGTATATCGTCGACGTGGCATATCAAGATGCAGTTTGTTTCTGTATTGATGTAGACTCCGTCATATGGTAAAAACCTTAAAGCCATCTTTCAATAGGGCCTTGGTTAAGTATTTGTACCACAACCTTGGACCTTGTTTTAGACCATAGATTGCTTTTTTCAGGTGGCAGCATTTGGTAATGTCATCATATATCCCTTCGGGTAATATGGTATAGATTTCGGCGTCTATCTCGGTGTGCACGAATGCATTTTTGACATCATATTGTAGGATGACCCATCCTTTGTTGACAGCTATTATCAATAGCATACGCCACTCGGTTCAGTGGATATGGTAGCAGTGAGAATGAAGTTTTTCATTTGATTGTTAGGATCGTTTTGATCTGGTTTTGCATTGTATTCACCTATCCGGGATATCATGTTTCTTAGCTCTGTGTCTTGAGCTGTGTAGAGTATATTCATTTCTTTGTATGGGATTTGCACTTCGATTTTGTATGGCCTTTGAGTGATAGTCCGGTTGATAGCTCTATGTTGGCTTCGCCGTCTTTCTCGTCGTTTGACGTGTCAAAGTTGTAGAATTCGTTTTCACATACAGTGACATCTCGGGCCCATACTTGTCTTCTTTCTTTTGAGATCCCACAGTTTGTAGTTTGTGGAGTCATTGTATCCAATTAGGATGGCTTCTTGTTTTCTTGGTTCAAGTTTTGTTTTGTATTTGTTGTCATGATAGTATGCAGGTGATCCCCATGTTTTGATGTTTTTGATGAATGGTTTTTGTACTGTTGTATGTTTCATATAGTGTCTTATAACTTAGCGCTTTATGCGGTGTTATATTGTATAGGTATGTAGCTGCTTTTAAAGCTTCTCCCCACAGGTAGTCCGGGGCATTTGAGCTGATCAATAAGGCTCGTACTTTGTTCATCAAAGTCAAGTTGATTCTTTCGGTCAGACCATTGGGTTCTTTTGTGTATGTTGGGCGAAGTCTATGCTCAATCCCGTATTTGGTTAAAGCCATTTTGGACTTTTCGTTGACGTATTCTTTACCATTGTCGGTAAAGAACTCTTTGATACGTCCATTGGTATTGTTGTCAATTTGAGCTTTCAATTTCTCGAAGCAATCATAGGCTTGTTCCTTTCTGCGAAGTAGGAATATCCATATAAATCTAGACTTTTTGTCCAGGAATGTGATGTAATAAGCATGGTTATCATAGGTTCTAGGCAATGGCCCTCCTAGATCACTATGTATTCTTTCAATCTTTTGAAATATTTTGGTATGTTGACTGGTTTTGTTTATATGCCTGTTGTTCTTTGCAAGCAGGCATACTTTGCAGTGCATAATCGCATTCTGGTATTTTTCTTTTGATAGATCAATATTGATAGTTTTTAGTATAGCTTTCAAAGGTTCATATGATATATGCCCTAATCGTTCATGCCACATCTTGATGAAGTTGGTTTCCACCCTTTTTGTCAATAGGATGTTTCTGTTCTTGTCTTTGTCTGGGATAAGCAGACTTGTTTTGTATAGATTGTCTTTCTTGAATGCATGTGATATGATAGTGTTTTCTTTGTGTATGATGGCGTCCTTTTCATTGAAAGTTGCCTTTATACCATTTTTCAGTAGTTTGTTAACACTCAAGAGATTGACTCCCAATTCTGGGATGTAGTAGACATCATTGATGAAGCATTGCATGTTTGTATTTGTTTTGACATAGATTTTGCCTTTGTATTTTGTTTTTAGATCTTTTGCTTCACCCCAACTAACATTTGTTTTTGTGGGTTCATACGAATGGAAGAGTTTCAAATCGCATATTGTATGA